GTGAGGAATGATAGCTAGCTGCGGGTTTGTGCGTTCATCAGATATATGTAAATTTTAGTCTATAGTTTATAGTTTAATAGATATATATATATATACTTGGATAATTGGGGGCTATATTGTAAATTTTAGTCTATAGTTTATAGTTTAATAGATATATATATATATATACTTGGATAATTGGGGGCTATATTGCGTTACTCGATAAATTTGTTATGATGATACGAGATTGGAATGAATGATTTAAACCCGTTAAGTTTGGAGAAGTTGCAACGGAAAAGGAATTTATTTACTTCATCTAATAAGTGTTAGTCTTGATTTTGCTAATCATAGAGAGCATCATCAGTATGTTAATAAATGTTCTCGGGAGAGAAAAAAAACATCTCCTCCTAAACATTCATGCGATGCGAAGTTCAATATTTTTAGAAGAATATCGAAACTGAGCAGGGGGAAAAAAAAGAAATACAAAATGAACCAATGCATATTTAGATTTCGTATTATGGCATGATGAATATATCCAGGGACCTTTCATCAAAATAATGATGATGATGATANTTCTCTCCAAATCATTGTTCTTCCCTAATGTATTTCCTTGATCTACCAAGTAAAAGATGGTGATTCATGCAAAGCACGGTCCATCTCCATACGAATTATCTATTAAGAACCTTGATTAGTTATAGTTACACCAGCGCTCAGTATTTATTTTATCGCATATATAAAAGATCCACATGAAAGTCAAAATCAGGCAATTTTTCTGTTAAATACTGATTTGAATTCAAAATATCATTAAATTCAAACAGACCCTTTTACTATCACCCAGCTGTGAATAGAACTCTTTTAGTCATGATTTTGTGAATATACATGAACTTTTTTAACTCTTAAAATCGTTAAATTTAATTGAAGAGGCGAGTAGACCCTTACAGTCTTATAGGTGAGGATAGGCTCTCAAAATTTATTTTATTTGTAACTTTTAAAAAAGTTGAAAATATTTCACAAAATGGGCGTATATTCGCATCTGGGTCAATATTGCAGGGGTCTCTTCGCCATAAATAGGACTATAGGGGTTCTATTTGTAATTGATTGATATTTACAGGGGTCCTTCGCAATCAACCATACCATGTGTATGGAGAGGGGGAAAAACATGATCGTGTTCCTTACATCGTCTTCAAGGCATAGATTCCAGGTAAGACTTTGCATCAGATGAGGCAAATGACTTTTTATAGAGATTGTAGATACTAGATAGATGGGTGTTGTTTGAACTCGCAAAAAAACTAAAAAAACTAAAAAATAATTAACAGCGTTAAAATTAGGTTAAATGGCACTTAAATATCATATTGTTTCATCACATTCATACTAATTGATGTAAAAAGTAGCACATAAATATTCTAAGTTGTACATCATTAAAATCTTATAAATGCCGTTAAAAATTTATTACAACAAAAATACCCCTATGTACTTATGTAGAAATGAATGTAAAATTTAATAAAAAGGATGGAGGGTAAAATCAATGGTAAATATGTCAATAATTTGGTTTAATACAATTAGAGAAATGTCATGTGCGACCCGCAGAGTTGGCACATCAGTGTAGTCCCATGTTCGAATCTCCCCACAGGTAAAAAACCATTAGGTCAGCATAGAAAAATGTCATGTGTGAATCACATAAGAATATTTTCACGTGTAACTAAGGGTCTGTTTGGTTCACCAGTTTATAGAATAGGATTAGTAATTGGAGTCTGACAGTGGCAATTTGGTAATTTTTAGATTCTTTGTGAATCCTATTCTGGAGTTTGGTTCAGCAAAAATTTTGGGATTACAATTTCCCAAAAGTAGCTACAGTTGGGGTTTTTTATAGAAACCCAAATCGGAAGCAAGGCGTCGGATTTGGGCGAGATTTCTGACACCAAGCTTCAGGGCCGATTCCTAATCCTATTTCAGGAATTCGATCCCAAGATCTGGAATCGCTGTTCGCTTCCCCTCATCGCCCTCCTCTTCGCGCCTCCTCTCTCGCGCTTCGTCTGCTTCTACCTTGGGTCGTGGCTGTTACTCGAAACCCTAGCTTTGTTTTTGAACGAGCTTGCTGGTGGGTTTCTTGCCTTCGATAACTGGTGATCCCTTCTCGATCTTGTTCTGCTTCGACTGTGATTGTTGGCTACGGTGTTTTGATTGATCTCGGTGGGTTTTTTGCTTGGACGTCGGCATTTTGGAACTTCATCAGCTAGGTAAAAATTTTTGCCCTCTTATTTTGACTTATTTCTCCAGTGATTTGAGGAATTACTTGTAATTATGAAACAACCACGAAATAGAATAGGATAGCAATTTCAATGTTTTAAGAGATTAATTTTATAATCTTACAGTAAAACAATTCATGCGGGTGTTTGTGTACTGGATTTTGTTGTTAATGTGCAAGAATTATGTTGTTAGATAGATAAACGACATGAAAATAGAATAGAATTTATTTTTCTATTTTCGCTTTCTTGCACAAATGTTTCATAAATCTAAATAAGGTCCTCAAATAATTAGTTAAAATTGTGGGTTACTGAAATTGATGATTTTTTTCTTTTATTTCCTTTTTTTTTTGTGTGTGTAAATTATTAGTAATCTAACCATATAGTTTGTTTGTTTTGGGTCTATCTTGCTTGTTGATAATTGTGTGAGAGGGAATGCAACATTAGTTAAAATAATTTTTATTTCAATTAGCTTTCTTGCTTTAAAAGAAATAAATATTTGTATCAATTATCTACTTAATTTTGACAAGACATAAGTAGTCATCTTAAGCTGTAACTGTATGATAATTTTAAAACGGTTGTAGATGAATATGGAAGATGAGGAAGAATTGAAGAGGATGTGTGCTAATACAGCTGTCTGCGCCGTGGTCACTTTGGTAACATGTATTTTGAGAATGCGTGCTAAGCGCAAGAGAATATCAAATTGTTCGAAGCAAGAAAGGATCAGAAAAATATATTGTAGAGAGGCTCACTTCAGACGTGTACTGGAGGGCTATCAAGATAGCTGCCAATCTTATATTAGAATGAGACCGAGGGCCTTTTTTAAACTTGTTGAAGTAATGAAAGCAAACGGGTTATTAAAAGATACGAGACACGTTCAAGTTGAAGAACAACTTGCTATGTTCCTGAGTATTGTTGGGCACAAAACTAAAAATAGAATAATAAGAACTGAGTTCATAAGATCAGGGGAAACAGTTAGCAGGTATTTCAATAAAGTCTTGCAAGCAATGAATGGATTACGTGATCGGTACATGAAGCAAGCCCCAAAAGAAGTTCCCGAGGAGATTGCAAACAACTCAAATTATTTTCCGTACTTTAAGGTAAATTAAATACATACAACTTAACAATTTTCCAAGTAAACTTATTTTTATTTAACTATGTATAATTTATAATTTTTTATAGGACTGCATTGGTTTGATAGATGGCACACACGTCGACGCGGTGTTACCTAGTGACCTAGTTGCACGGTTTAGAGGGCGAAAAGGGGTCACCCAAAACATCTTAGCAGCCTGCACCCCCACTTATTTCTCCAGTGATTTGAGGAATTAATTTTAATTTTGAAGCATATGAGAAATAGAGGCTGATAGCAATTTCAATGATTTAAGCGATTAATTTCATAATATTACAGCAAAACAATTCATGCGGGTATCTGTGTAGTGGATTTTTTGTAAATGTGCAAGAATTAGGTTGTTAGGTAGATTAATTTCATGCGGGTATCTGTGTAGAGATTAATTTCATAATATGTTTCAAATCAGTATTTTAAGAACTTAAATTGCTGTTTTTTTTAACTTTATTTAATTTTTTTGTGTGCGTGTAAATTATTAGTAATCTAACCATATAGTTTGTTTGTTTTGGGTCTATCTTGCTTGTTTAGAATTGTGTGAGATGGAATGCAACATTAGTTAAAATAATTTATTATTGCAATTAGATTTCTTGCTTTAAAAGAAATAAATATTTGTATCAATTATCTACTTAATTTTGACAAGCAATAAGTAGTCATCTTAAGCTGTAACTGTATGATAATTTTAAAACGGGCTCCGAGTTTACGATGGTATTCATTCTCACTTGTGCATATTATGAATAATATATTAAATACTTGGCAATATTTGAGATTTTAAAATACTGTTTAATTAATGTAGGTAAATATTACCTATGTGACGCTGGATACACCACAATGCCAGGTTTCATATCCCCGTATCGCGGTGTCCGATATCATTTAAAAGAGCACACCGGTAGGACACCAAAGAATAGGAAGGAGTTGTTCAATTTAAGGCATTCATCTTTAAGATCAAAAATTGAGTGCACATTTGGGATACTGAAGAATCGGTTTAAAATTCTTGCGGGGAAGCCGAATTATCCATTTCCCACTCAAGTGGACATTGTACTAGCGTGTACTGTGTTGCACAACTTTATTGCCTTGGAGGATCCGGATGATGATATTTTAAATGAAAATGTTGAAATTGATGAAGATACTGGGGAAGAGACAAATGAGGACGAATCAAATGTGATGGACTATACTCAAAGTAGGACACAAAGAGAGGATCGAGATGTTAGAAATGAATGGAAGGAGTTACGAGATCAAATTGCTTGGGCGATGTGGGTGGATTATTGTGCAAAGTACAATGGTGGTAACACAATGGAGAGCGGTTTAACTTAGTGTAGCATCTGTTCTATGGCTATGTAATAACTTGGTGAATTTTAACATACTGTTCGCATCGATATCTTTTATTGTTTCTAAGCCATTTGTAACAAACCATTACTACTTTTATCACTTGCTATTTTGTTATGTTGTTTGAACTAGAAATTACATCGTTTACTATATTCCCTGCTAAATGCATACATATCCCATATTCTATAAATTTCTTTATTGTTAATATGGCTATGCTTACAAAATATATTAGGTATGGCTAACAATCCGGCAGATAAGCAAAGCGTGCCTTCTCATTCGAATGCAATGCCAAGTCCTACATCAGGGATTAACATGAACTACATGCCTGTTCGACCACAGCCATTCACCTCACCTCCGCATACTTTCTCACCATTCCCACCATGGGATGGTAATTATGGTGGGATGACACAGCCGCCAATGTCATACATGAGCATGTTAGGCAGTCCACAAGGTTTGATGTTTCCCACAGCCAGTTCTCAAAGTAGTGGACCTAATCAATTTTCACCAAACACCGGTGATTCAGTTGGAAAGGATATTCATGACGTTGATGGTGCGGAGCACACTTCGCCATTGAAAAGAGGGAAAAGATTAGCACACAAAAAAAAAGTTCCGTGTACCAGGTTGAACTCAAGAGGCGTGGCTAATAAGTTTTGGCTTCCAGAGCACGATGATGTGCTTATTCCTTATCTTGCAGATTTAGCATTGGATGGCATGAAGCCAGACAAGAACTTCAAGGCTGAAGCTTATAAAATGGCTGCCATGAAAATCAACATGCAATTCAGGACTGATTTCACTCACCTGCATGTCATTAACCACTTGAAATGTTTGCGGAACAAATTCAATGACATGAAAGCTTGCCTTGATATAAGTGGTGCTGGGTGGGATGAAACAAGTAAAATGATTACATTGGATGAGGAAACCTTGAAATCTTGGGCCCAGGTATAACAATTCAGCATCTATCTTGTCACATTCAATTTAATACATTTGATTCTCTGGATTTATAAGTATTTATTATTGCAGGACAAATCCAATTCTAAGTACAAAGCATACATAAACAAACCCCTTCCTCACTTCAAAAATTTACAAGTTATCATGGGTGATGATCAAGCCAAGGGTGATTTTGTTAGACCCGTGTACGCTAACATTGGGTCTAGTAGGTCCATACCTATTCCCGATGATGATTGCGAGATTCTAGAGGAGAGTGAAGCTGAACCACAGTCTGATGCTTGCAACCAACCACGTTCTGGTGTTGTTAACCAACCACAACCCACTAGATATAAGACTAAGAGTAAAGACAACACGACTTCATCATCTAGCAAAAAAACCAGAAAATTTAATCGTGAAGAGGAAATGATGTGTGCCTTTGTTGAGTCCATGTCTCAGTCAATGAGAAATCAACACGTTATACACTGGACTGAGCAGTTGGCTGGAGCGTTGAAGGAACATAGGTCTGAATATTCCGAGGAGTTCCTCGATAGGGTTTTAGACCATTTATATGACAATGAACGTGAAGCTAGGAGGTTTTTCATTAAATCTAAGGAAGGTCAACAGAGGTACATCACAAAATTAGTTAACGACCAAGGTTGGCCGGATAGCTAGTTACTTGGGTTTCGATTATATTACGTTCTGGATATTGTTGTGTTTATTGCAAACTATTAATGTTGCAATTTGTATTTTCATTCTGAAGAACATCTATGTCGGTGTGGGATTGATGAATTGGTATATTTGCAATCTTTGTTGCAGGTAAGGTCGTGGAATGATCATTGATTTCTTTGAATTTTCCGATTATATTTTGATATCAGGTAAGCTTTCTGCAGCTCATGCTGATGCTGCTGTTTGGGTGAGCTCATGTTTTGAGCTTTCTGCAACTCATGCTGCTGCTGGTTGCTGGTGGGTGCCTGTTTTGAGTTTTCTGCAGCAGTTGCTGCTGCTGGTTGCTTTGTGCATCATTTGCTGCTGCTGCTGGTTGGTTTGTGCCTGTTTTTTGCTTTGTGCAGCTCATGCTGCTGCTGCTGGTTGGTTTGTGCCTGAAGTGGTATTTGTGCAGCTCATGCTGCTGCTGCTGGTTGGTTTGTTGCTGGTTTGTTGCTTTGTGCAGCTCATGCGCTGCTGGTTGCTGGTTTGTGCCTATTCCTTGCTTTGTGCAGCTCATGCTGCTGCTGGTTGCTGGTTTGTGCCTGTTCTGAGCTTTGTGCATGTTTGCTGCTGCTGCTGGTTGGTTTGTGCTTGTTTTGAGCATTTTGTTTTTCAGGCTGATGCTGGGGTTGTGGGTTACTTGCTGGTTGGTGCTGTTTTGTTTGAGCTTTTGTTGCTTGTTTTGGTTTTAATTGCCTGTGGGTTACTTGCTGTTATGGTTTGCCTTGCCTGTGGTTTTCCTTGCACTTGATATGTGGCAATGATGATGATCAACGTTTTCTGAGAATGCAATCTAACTTACATCGTTTATTATAACCAGATGAGGCAAAAGGGGATGAGATTGCAGCCTACATTGAATTGACAATGTCTAGGCGAGGCAATTCATCCTTATAATGCAATCTGTAATAAACATGTTTAAGTTATAGGTGGGGCAATCAATGATGACAAGTTGATCTATTACTGAGCCATACAATATCAATAAGAATTTGTACCCAGTTCAAACAACAGTTTTCATTACATCCTCAGTAGTTCTTGCAAGTACAGTTACATGACATGAAGTTTGTAATAATTAAAATAACACAAAAAATTGCTAAGAAAATTGCAGAAATTTTCCAAATTAGTAGTTGATTTTCGACAAGTCTCAATTCTTTCTTCAGCTTCTTTGATTGCAAAATATATTTTTCTCCGTACCTATTTTCTTTGACATATTGGCTTCCTTGGTTGCTTGATGACTCTCCTCTTTCTTCAGCCCATTCGAAAAAATTACATTCTTTATTTGAGAATTTTGCACACCCCCAATAACACCTACCCTTATTTTTGCCATTCTTGCACACTTTCATCGGTGTTCTGAGATGGCAGTCACAATAAACTTCATAATCCTGCCAGCACTCTTCTGATATCATTTTCATGTCGGGTTGGCAAATTGAAGACAATGGGAATTTTATAAATGCTAAAAATGAGAGTGCTTGGATTAGTTGTGAGCCCTCAAGGTGAATTTATAGCCACCATGGCCCTCTTCTAGCCGTTGCTACAGTGTTCTGTCATATTTTTTCAAATCTAGATTTTTAAGCTGAAATTGATCCGTTGCTACAGTGATTCCAGCAAAAAAAGGGTATTTATGACCTCTTCTAGCCGTTGCTACAGGGATTTTTGAATTGATACAAAGACTAACTGTTGCTACAGTGTCTACTCCCAAAAAAGAGATTTTTTTTGAAGCAAACATGGTATTAGGAATTGGACCATTTCTATAAAAGTTGGATTCCTAATCCACAAGGTGAAACAAACATAGAATGCCAAAAAAATAGGATTCCATAAAACTATAACTTATCTATAAAAATTTTATGGATTAGGTTGGAATCCATAAATAAAATAGGATTCCTAATCCTATTCCTATCCTCTATTGAACCAAACAGGCCCTAACCAAATGTACTAACAAGTCGGTTTTAACTTAGGATAGTAAAATGCCACTTTTCTACAACTTAAAATATTAAAATACCATCTTCTACAAATTAGTACATCTAAATATACAGTAGATGAAGGAATAGAGTATTTGAATACCATTTGGCATTAAAATTATTAGAGTCAATTGAAAATGAGCTGAAACCAAAGACTGGGCAGCACGTGACAGCACAACATGATTTCAGAGGGAAGCCACTCATTTTTTTTTACTGCAATTCAACAAACAACCCCCTGCTTTTATGCGAGCATTGCCTTTTGTTCTGTTGACACTGCAGTCTAATAAATG